ATTTCAGAAAACAAAAAAACCCACATGAAATTCAATAATTGAAACTCAATCTCTTATAGGGGGTCCTCTGCACAGCAGCAGATGAAACTTAAGAGAAGTTCGGAAGGAAACGGATTGTTTTCACCCTCTGCGATAGGTCAGGGATAGTTTTACTCTTTGGAAAGAAGGGGCTCTCATGGTCGAGGTCAGAAATGAACATATATGCGAATAAAACATTTCCATATAAATATATCTATGAAGAGCAAATCATTTCTAGTGCCACAATATAGGTAAAAACAGGATTAATATAAATAATTCCTCTTGGCAGGGGTGTATTTAATCATGTCAGACATGCAAAAATCTTATCTTTTCCCTTAAACATCTTTTACCTCTTTTATTCGGTCACTGTTTCTAGTATTCTAAATGTTTGCAATCAGTAAATCACGAAGTTAAACCTAGGACCTTAATTGAGTGCCTTCCTCTTTACCCTGGTGGCATAACATGGTCATGCTGTCAAGTCAAACCTTGGTTTCTTACTTACATGATGAACAAGATGAAAGGAAAATGATTACTTAGCCGTTATGAGAATACACTTGAATTTAATATTCAATGCCACTGTTCAAATACATATCTTTTTGATTTTGTTAATGGCAGATGATAAGTAGTTACCAATACATCTTTTATTGAATTACCATTCACCTTAACAGAATATTGAATAAATATCAAAGTCTTTTAATGAAACAAAATTCTTACCTAAAACAATATCAAAACATTATATTAAACTATTTCTGTTTCCCATGTAAAATGTGAAACTCATTTTCTCCTAAATAATAGGTCCTTACAGCAAGTTCAGATGAATCATATCCTGAGCCTCATCACTGAGTAACGATTGATTAAAGGTTTGGGGACAATGTTCCAGAATTTTCTATCCACTAAAAGTTAAAATACAAAGGAATTTTTGTTTTTGCATCTCGGTATTTTTTTCCTATGCTTTAACATCTTTTTCATTAATTTTATGTAATCTTTAAATTGCCTTACTTTTATTTACTTTGAATCATTACTTACTGACATTAGTACATTATTTTAGCCTAAAGCATATAAAAATTAAGACCGATTAGTGTGTTTTAGAACAGCTGGAGCAGCTGCTGTGAAAGAAATAGATCTGGTTTCCTTTAGCTGTAGTAGAGGCTGAGTGGTTTTCTCATGTCCCAGTCAACCAAGTTTTCCCTAATTATCAGGCAACTGTATTACCTGGTAATATCACTACTATTATGACAAAAAAAAAAATCACACTAATTCCATTCCATGAAAATACCTGCTCATAAAATATCAAGACATTTGAAGAGGCACGAAGAAATCAATGTGTGTTAAGTATCAACAGTTTGTGTTCCTTTACTGTAATAATCCCTGGCTGTTTGGGCAACTCATTTTGGAAAAAAAAAAACTGTCTTGTTTTATGAGTAGAAAAGTTGACATAGGGATGAAATTTGGATTTTTATACTTCTGAAGTAACTATTAAATGAAAACGTCAATATGTTGATAGTGCTCTATTGAGTCTGAATATTTTAAAAATAATGGAGACTATTGGAGAATAAGCACAATTGTAAATATCAATTAAATAGCTCAAATAGATTTTCTTTAATATGAACCCTGAGTCAGTACAGATCTTTGTGATCTCCCTGCAGTAGTAAGAATGTGCACACACTCAAAGCTACATGAAAGTGCACACTTACTTCCAATTCCTGCTAATTCCCTGGCATTAGTCCTAAGGATATTAATTACTGAACTGAGCATATATTAATATGGATGAGTTTTACCTATAAATAAAGTACCAGCTACACAGGCTGGCCTGAAAAAGAAAATCATAACTGTTAACAAAGTGTAATAGGAAGCCAGCAGTCAGTGCTAGACTATTTGATTAAGATCAAATACAGGAAACCAGTGAGAAAAAGAAGCCAACTGTCTGATACAGACGGCAGACCACACTACTGATGCTCCTTTGTGCCCAGTTTACTCTGCCCTGACTGGCTGTGGATGAATGAAGTGAATAAAACCTGAAAAAACTGAGAAGAATGTCAGTGTTGTCAGGCTCATGCTGTAACACTGAATCTTTTTCCCAGTCCTGTATGGGTAAGTCCCTGAAAAGTCCCTGAAATTAGGAATTTATTATATATGTAAACTGCAAGTTCACACTGCGGCGATACATGACCCACAAGTTGGCAAAGGACTAGATTAACAACTAACGTTATTTTCAATACTGAAGCTAAAAATGTCTCACAAGCAGAGAAGTTCATGTGTTTGAAAGTGGAGAATGAGGGTGTGCATCTTCTCAGTGTGAAACATTTTTAATGACTTTGTTCTATGACTCTGAGAGTAATTTTAACTTATACATTCATTCACTCAAAGAGGAGTTGTGAATTCTTCCCTTGAATCTTCTTCACGGGATCAACAAGTGCTCTGACATTATCACTTGATTCTAATGAAATTTTGAGGTTTATCAAAAATTCAATTTGAGTCTACTGGCTTCATATTTATCCTGATGACCTGACAGTTCACACCTTTTCATCAGAAGCATTAGCGTTTTCTCCTCAGAAAGTCAAATCCAAGTTTGTAAGGATGCGGAAGTCAGCCAACTACCTTTTTGGGTGAAAACATGTACTACCCTAACTTGAGTGTTGTTGCTAGTTTCCATCAGGCTGTTCTTATATCCAATAATAAAACATCTCCTTAAATGTCAATATATTTGAGTGGAAGGTTTTTCTTTTCATTTAGCAATCTGCATTTCACAGTAAAACTAAGACTTCAAAATTACTTCTTGGATCATTCTGTCTCCTTTGACTTGATGAGGCAGCCAAGTGTTTTCAAAGTTTTCTCTTGTTTTCAATGAGAAAATGTTGAGCAGCAGTACTTACTTTCATTAGAACGACACAAGCACTTTTAGACAGAACGATGTCTACCTTTAAAATATTAATGTGAGAAATGTATACATCCTAGTTAATGGTAATCGCATCATTATGAGAGTTATCAGCAGACAAAATCTCAAGACTTTTACATTGCAGTTTTTGAATATTTGAAATAAAGGATTTTATAAGTATAAAAATCTCATAATTCGTGATAAAATTTTCTCATCTTAATGAATTTTTTTTTAATTTTTATTTTATGTGTATGAGTGTATTGCCTGCATGTATGTGAGTGCACCCGTGTCGTGCAATGCTGCGGAGGTCAGAAGAGGGCTTCAGATTTCCCTGGAGCTGGAGTTAAGGCCGGTTTTTAGCCACCATGTGGGTGCTGGGAATCGAGCTCAGGTCCTCTGTAAGAGAAGTCAGTGCTCTTAACTGCTGAGCCATCTCTCCGGCCCCTTAATGAATGTTTTTAATTCCAAATATAAATTGTCTTCCTTTTAAAAGCTCCTATTCTGACACTGACTTTAAATATGCACATTTCAAAGGGAAGGTTAGAGTAATTCAACACCAATACCTTCCAACAGGGCCTCAAAGTGAGGCAATAAAAAGCTGACCTGATTTCAAAAAGTTCTTTCTTATAAAAATACATTTGCATAGTTTTTACCTCTAATGGCCTGATCCTTAGTCCTTGTGAAGGTAAATACATGCCTGTCATGAAAGTACTGGATGTCTGGTCTTTTAAGATTTATTAATTTTTATTAAATGTGACTGTTGTGTAAGTTATAGTATGTTTCCATGTTTTGCTGAAAAATAAGTCATGCTTTAAGAAAATACCCAGCTCTGGTGATGGGCTTCTGAGAGGGTAGATTGCTACCTCTGAGGACCTAAAGGACAAGGAGTGCAGACCACTTGGCTGGACCTTTAGTGTCTATTAAGTATGATGGTTGATAGCTTCGGGTCTCAAAACAAACACGTCACAGTACGTGAAGACTTTACAAACACTTCAAACATGAACTCCTGATTCTAGTTGCTTAGGAATACCAATGCTACACTGGAGATTATTAGAATTTTAAAAGCTATCAGCTACGTAGTACAAGAGATGTCTGAGTTAATGAGACAGAAAGAAATGATAAGTGGAAGTCCAAATGGCTCAATCTCCCTTTTCAAGCTACTAAGTCTTACCTTGTAAATTGATATTCAAAATGATTCTTTACATTTATAGCTTAGGGGTGTTAGACAAAAACCAGGCAGCCAATAGCCACAGGAGGACTCTGGCAAAGCAAACTTTATTTTGGGAATTGCTGGGGGCTGGCAGCTCAGCTGGGGAGTGAAAAGCAACCAGCAGCTTGCTGACTGCTGGAGAAGTTTTTATGGGGGGTGATGCAGAAGGTGGCAAAAATAATCTTTACAGTTTCAGGGGAAGCAGGGGTCTGCACATTGTGAAACTTATCAGGGGGAAGCAGCTTATGCTGAGACAGCTCTTACATCAGTCAGGTCTTGGGTCATGGAAGTAAGAGTCTGTTTATCTGTCTGCAGGTGGCTAATTTTAACCATTGACTCAGTTCCTGCATTCCAAGGGGCCCTGCAGAACTTTGCAGAACTTGTCCTTTGGGGGTTGCAAAGCCTTGCTGTACTGGCAGAAGGGTCGGACTGAGCCTGGACTCTATCAAGGGGCATGTCTTAAAGAAGAAGCCTGAGAAACAAACCTCAGTAAGAAAGAAAAGCCGATCATAAGAGAAAAACTATTACCAGACAAGTAGCATCTATTAGAATGTAGAAGGAGTTGATGCTGTGGAGTTAATTTTAAAATGTCCATTAGAGTTTACATAGTACTATGTGCACAACTGTAACGGGAGGAAAACCATTCATATGTGATATTCTTACTTATACAATATAAGCATAAACTGTATTTAGTTTTACATACATATATTCTTTTTGAAAATTTTTTCTTGTAGAAAGAAATACAGTATATTAAAACACTGTGCTAATCTGCTAATAGGCTGATGGTATGAAGGATAAAACTTCTTATGTGACTAAGGACTATTAGCAGTAAAGTAAAATGTATTAATATGTTCAAAGTTTAAAAACAGAACAAAAGGCAAAAGAAAAAAATTGCACATTGAGTATAGATATATTTTAAAGGAAGAAATCAAAGGTTCAATATTTTTCATTTTTCTCTGATCCAGTGAGCACATGATTCTAGGTCCTTTTTATGACAGGGTGTTGTTGGAGGCATTATGGTGTGGATGGTGGTTTGGGAGAAGAACAGGATCCTTGACTATCAAAACTGGTTGCCCGGCCAGGTAACTGAAAGACAGTAATTTCATACTGTATGACCCAGTGAAGAAAAATAGCATGATGGGTAATGTTTCTTTCTTTACATGGTGAATACTCATGCACAATTTATGTTTCTGAAGAAAAGACTTATGTAATGACACGTTCTTTACACTTACCTTCTCTGGTACATTGAGAGGACACAAGGATTTTGTATTAATGTACAGCGCTTGTCACACACAGGAACACTAGAAGACTCGCATACTTCGTGACAGAGTTTTAGTTCTTTTTATAAAATGGCTTACTGTAGTGCTGGGAAGGAGCATGGTGTTCCAGACATAAGATGCCATGTTCCCCTTTCTCTGAGGCAGGAAGGAATTTCCATCAGGGCAATTCATGAACTAAAAAAGGCAGGTTGTCAGGTGGTAGCCTGAGTGACACGGAGAATTTCTCCTGACCCTTAAACATCTGTATTTAAAAATCTAATTACAGTAGACTATATATTTGATTACCTAGGTAGAAGTAACTAGATTTTCTAAATGATGCTTTTAGCCTCTGTCTGCCAACTTACTCTGCTGTTGAGTTTCCTTGTTTCCTTTCTTGTTTATCCTTTCTCTGACAAGAACAAATATAATTTCACTCTCATTTTCCTGTAATACTAAATTCAGGTGTCTGTTCCATATACTATATTTGACCACTGAATATAGGACCAGAAGATGGAAAAGCAGTATTTTCTGGGGGAAAGTACATTGATCTTTTATCTTCTCTGTGAGCTTTTTCAGCTGCCTGTCCTGTTACAACTGAAAAGGATTCTTTTGATCTAAAACAAACATATGCCCACTCTTCTTTATCAGTTTCATACTGAAGAGTCACCAGTAATGAATATACATCTTGTTATACAGCATATTTCTTCACACTTGATAAAATTCTTGCTCATAAATTGTCAGTTCTCCTCGCATCATCCCCACTAGCCCGCAGGGCATATGGCTTCTCCAGGATTAAATGTTAGAGAGCAAGGACTAGAGCCCCTGTCTCCAGTCAGCGTGGCTCCCTGTTCAACCAGGCTTTCATTCCGTTTCTACATTCTTAGACCTCCCTTCCACATTTCCTAATGCTCCCTTTCAAATTAAAAATGAAAACAAAAATAAGCAGTGCAGTGTGTCTTAGACAACACGGAGCAGTGGGACAAAATAAAACTTGTTTCTTAAAAAAACTGTTCAGGGGAAAATTCCACGTGATTCTGTGGGGTGTGTGTGTGTGTGTGTGTGTGTGTGTGTGTGTGTTTCATTGTGTGTCTTTGTTTCCTGGCATATGTGAATTATTAGGTCAGGTGAAGACTTGAAGCATTCATATATAAATAGGTCTGGAGTGGCAGAAATTTCCCATTGTCTGAGCATGAAATGCTCATTCAATTTCCACAACATGTCTTGAATAACACAGCTAAGGTGTCATTTTGTAACTAAGCTGAGACTAACACCTGGTGCCACTGATACAGTCCATCAGTCACAGTGCAGTCTCCCATTTCTAAACCAGGGCTTAGCGCCAGAAGCAGCAGACTCTTAATCCATTCAAAAGTGAAGGTATTATTCATTTATTTTGTAGATACTCATTTTATGAAAATTCACACAGTCCTTCATCCTTTTGAGAACACTGTTATCTCTCAGTTGATGACTGATCAGGTTGTAATTTAGGTTCTTTGTGACTCTTTGGCAGGTTCCAGCAATTCTTTGGGAAAGAAAACCATTCGTCTATGCAACATTTGGTGTATCCAGCAGACTAACTTTCTGACCGAAAGTCCTGATAGAAACCTGGTACTGATATTTCCTGAGTTAATACAGCTTAGTAACAGCTATGAGACCGGATACTAAGTGAGTCTGTACCATGCATTCAACATTCAGAATTTATTTAGTTTCCTTCTAGTTTACTGCTAATGCAGAGTCACAACAAGAAGTCAGAGAAGTTTAAGTAACTTGCTCAAGGTCTCACAGCAACAGCTGGTCACAAAGCGCAGCCGGGCCTTGAACTCAGGGAAGCTGATGTCTTGATATTTCAGGACTCTGCTCTTTCTGACCAGAGGTGGATGGGCCATACCTGTCTCCTTACACAGATGTGTTACCTTTTTTTAAGGACTGGAAAACGAAAAGGGGCTTTTTTTAGGCAAAGTGGCTCTTTTCACAAAAGAGAAGTACTGAAGTTCAGTGTCTACTTTGTAATAACCTTAAGATGCCCTGCTTTGCACTGTCAGGCTGTGCAAAGAAAATGACAGATCTGCAGTGTTTACATGAAGCCCCCTAAATTTAGTGGTTTTAAAAATTTCTCAAGAAACACAGAACTTTGAATACAAGATGTTAGAGACCCTGAAACACAAACAAGATTATTTTTTTAAAAAGGTGACTATGGGGGTGGGGGGCCTGGAGAGATGGTTCAATGGTTAAGAGCACTTCCAGACACCACCTGTTTGCTAACAACTGTATGTAACTCTAGTTCCAGGGGACATGATACCCTCTTCTGGTCTCTATGGGCATTGCATGACACAGATACACTTACATACTTGCAGGCAAAACACTGACATAAAATAAATAGATGAACACGTGAAATGTCAAATGAAGGTTCGAAGACACATACTGAAGCAGAGGGCAGAGGTGGGATTCCATATGCTTACCTCAAGTAAAGGGTGCCAGTGCGTGATTGGTTTTCGGTGATAGGCCAGCATTTCATTCCAGTGGTCTCGCCCAAGACCTTCAGCATCTAGTCCTGTTCTGCACACCCCTATGACCTCATTGTGTCCCACCCTAGGATGTGTAGAATGTTATTCTTTCATTTTCACCACTCAAAGGTAGCTCAGAAAATATCAGCTCAGGGATCTCCTTCAACACGGCATTAAAACATCATATTCTTTGAGTTTACAGATTACAGTAGTCTCCAGACCCCTGTTTCACTTTTTGCACTTTTAGTGACCCATGGTCAATCATAGTCTGAAAATATCAAATGGAAAATTCTAGAAATACATAACTCATCAGTTTTAAATAATGTTTAATATAGTATATTGTTATAATTGTTCTATTGTTCACTACTGTTAATCTCCTATTGTACTACTTATTGTATTTACATATTGAAAGTAAACACTCTAAGAGCATGTACAGAGGGAAAACAGTGTGTACAGCACTTGTCACTGTCTTTGGTTTCCATCATCTGTGGAACATTCTGGAACATATTGAACATATTGAAGGTGCTATTGTATAATGCTTCTGATTAAATGAGAATTCTCTCTCTCTCTCTCTCTCTCTCTCTCTCTCTCTCTCTCGCTCTCTCAGTTTTTTTTTTTCTCTGTTGTTGTTGCTTTTGGAGATGGGTTTCCTGTAGCCCCATCTAGCCTGGAACTCGCTACATAGACCAGGCTGGCCTTGATCTCACAGCGATCTGCCTGCCTTTGCTTCCCGAGTGCTGGGATTAAAGGGGTGTGTCACACCCGGCTTAAATGAGAATTCTTAAGTAAATAAAAATTAACTAGGCCAGGTGTGGTATATGCCAGCAACTCTGAACTTGAGAGGTAGAGGCAGGAGGATCAGAAGTTCAAGTTTATCCTTGGTTACACAGAAGTTTGAGGACAGCCTGGGATACATGAGATGCTGTCTCAAAAGAAAACAAACAAACATGCAAAAACCACCCAAAAACCCAAAGAAAATTAAATAAGCAATATCCAAAAATGAATTTTTACCCAAAACTCACAAACCCTTTCAGCTTTCAGCAACTAGAGCACATTTGACAGCATGACTAGGAAATGCCTGCAGATCCTTCACCTTTATAACATTTCTCTCTGGAAGGAGTCCTATTAAGCCTACATGCTGTAAAGAAAGCCTTATTCTTCCCATGGGGCCAAACATTTTATAATCATGTTTAGACTGTGCACCAAGAGCACCACACTCAATTTCTTGCAAGTGATAAATAAAAGATTCTGTTGAACTGACTCTAAATTATATATCGAAGTATGTTGTTGCTGGCACTATAATTACACAGGGCAGGGTTCCGTTCAGCCCCACCATGGTGAGTTATTACTGCATAACAAAGCGTATAGGATGACATTACTATTTTCTATTTATGCCCTCCTTTCACAGCAGCAAATCAAAAAATAGTGCCAGTTAATATTCTTGAGAACTGATTATGTACAGATAGTGTTCTAAGTAATTTGAATGTACTGACCTACTTAATCCCTGCTCCATGACTCTGGGCATCAATGCTATCATCTAATTTTATAAATAAACTAAATGATCAGAAGAGTTCTTAAGCGGTAGAGACAGGAGCTGGATCAAGACAATGACTCAAAAGAACACACGATTTTCTTTTCCCTCCCTTCTTTCCTTCCTCCCCCTCCCCCTCCCCCCTCCCTCATGTAGTCCAGGCTACGCTGGAACTTACCACACAGCCAAACCCTTCCTTCCTTTCTCTTCTTTATTTTCTTCTTTTTGAGATAGGGTCTCATGTAGCCCAACTATGTAAATAAAGATGACCTTGAACTCTTTATCTTCCTAAGCAGTAAGATTGTAGGAGTGTGCTGCCAAGACAGGCTTGATGAACTGGTTCTTGAAACAGAATATAATTTGAAAGAATTTCTACAGGATCATTTGGACACATCTCTGAAGAGGGTTTGGGGAACTTTCATTACATTTTTCTAGTTTCCTGTTATATAACTTCAATTTGAAGTTTCCCAATAAGTACATTTGTTGAAATACTTTTTAATTCCTGTTTTATATAATATTAGGATCTATTTCCTTAACATTGGCTTGATGACAAATGATCAAGTGTATCCACCTGAACTCACTGCTGTGAGAAGTCAGTACAGGTAATTGATAAAGCAAAACAGGACTGCTGAAGGAAACAGCTACAGCACTTTGAAGGACTGAAATCACATTTCTCCCTCTAAATGAATCATCACAAGTGTATATAGTAAGGTGTATATAGTATGGATTAGATTAAAAAGCATGGACCTTAGTTGGACAAAAATTCAGAAGAGTTTGGTTAGCCAAGAACATTTGTAGGTCTGCATTTTGAGGTGGGCAAGATTCACTAATATGGGGACGTTTCATAAAAATGGAAGCGTAGGACACAAATGTTAGTCCTGCAACATGAAAGCAGTGACCCAAAGTGTATGCGCTGGAAGGGTTAACAAAGAAGAGTTTAAAACTGGCATGGACCATCACAGCCTCTCCTGACTGCTACTCACCCTCCTGTCACACATCTCCGTAGGATGCTAACGTCCAGCCAATGGGAAAAGCAGAAAAGTGCCCCAAAGAGGATGGACTGGCCCTCCCACAGCCAGTTCATGAGAGCTGGGCAAGAACCATGATGTTCATTTGCCAGCCCCACCAGTGAAGCCAACTCTAGACTGTAATATTTGGTCTTACTGTAGAAGACTTTGTGTTATGAAGTCCATATTGAGTCTAGACCTGTCTCTTCAGCTTCTGGTGATCTTTAAAAATAACTACTTTGGAGAAAAACAAAATTATAACGTAGCTTCAAATGAATCGTTTTTCCCTTTATCTACTTTAGATTTGTCATAACAGCAAATAACATGAAAATCAGAATTTGACCTTGCTATGCTAGCTGCCCCATGCTCTGCTGACAAGCAGGGTCTACTTACCTGTCATAATCCATGACAGCGATGCACAGGCTGACCTGGTCTACGTTCTCTGGGGGGATGTCGAAAATGATGGCCTCATTGTACACTGGGTTGAGAGTGTTTTTCTTTGTAGTTGTTTTCCGTTTTTTTAATCTTCGACCCTCACACATCAAAGACACTTTGACATAAGGATCTGAGAGATGGAAAATAATTTCATACAAAGCATAAAAATACTGTAGTTCAATTTTACTAAATAAAACAGTGTGTATGACCCCTTCAGTATTAACAGTTTTAAAATAAAATGGCTTACTGTGGGGCAACAGATTCTCTAATTTTAAAGGTAAGCCATGTATCTACTAAACTAAAAATACTGAATGTAATCTCATTTTTTTTAATACAGGCGAGAAACTCCATAAGTTTACCAAGAGCTAATCCAGAATTGGAATGTCTCTTCCAGCCACTTCCATTTGAAGGAAAATTTGTGGAAATAATTTATAGGGAGTGTACTTTTAACAAAAAATATATTCAGGGGCTGGAGAGATGGCTCAGCAGTTAAGAGCACTGACTATTCTTGCAGAGGACCTGGGTTTGATTCCCAGCACCCACATGGTGGCTACAAACCATCCTTAACTCTAGTTCCAGGGGAATCCAAAGCCCTTTTCTGACCTCCGTGGCATTGAATGACATGGGTGTACTCACATACACTGCAGGCAATATACCCATACACATAAAATAAAAAAATAAAAACAAAATATTTAATAAAAAATATTTATATTCAGATTTCTGTCCTCTAGGATGACACTGAATAAGAAAGTCAAAATTTGTGAAAGACAGCAATGCTGTCTCTAGTCCAGTATTACAATGAGCAGAAATGAGAACAGAAATATAAATTTGAATTTTCTTCATCTTCTGGATAAGGTACAAAATTAGAAGTATCCATTTAGCCACAGTATTGGTATTTAATAAGGTGTTTGGATTGAAGGAATGATCACTGAAAGTAATTTATGAAATGTACTGGAGCATATTATTTGAAAAGATGACATTTATTTTCAGTTTTATCAGAAGGCTCTGATATAAGACTGTCTATATTATGTCACTTGCAGACAAAAAAATTTAATTGACTGCATTTTTGAGTCCAATGGATCAAATAATTGTTAAATTCTCTCCAGCTGGGAATTAAGCAAAAATGTTAAGTATTGCAGAAAACCACGCAACATTATAAATCACTCCAAAAGGCCTTATGGCTTTAGAGAGGATTCTGGGGTCAGGCTGAGCATGCCAAGTAGTGAATCCAGTCACTGGATCTTGTATTTTCTTTCCCTTCTGTTTCTCGTCTTGATCTCCCTCCCACTGTAACTTTTGTCCCAATTCCTCCAGTCATAAATCTTATTTCCTTAGAATAAGATACTGATTTTTTGAGTGTGCACTTTTCAAACTCCATGAAAATGTACATATTTCAAAAGCATTCCATCAAGGAACAAAATGTGTATTGATTGTTACTGGCACATGTGAAAGATAAGGTAACTGGGCAGTGTCAGTGTCTGATCTGCTTATAATTAACTGTATAATACTAGAAATACTAGAAAGCTGTTCTAAGGCGCCACAGCCTGTTCATGGAAGGGAGGCACCGTTAGCCCTCTCCTCCTCAATCACACCCCTGACTACATGGCTCTGCTTCTCACAAGTGTCTGGTCTTCAGTGGGTTCCTATGCCTGCTGTGAGGTTGGATGGCACAGTTCTTCCATGGCCCAGGCACTTGTGATGCAAAGCTTCATGTGGCTAAAAAATAATCGTGTATTTCACTGCAATTTTAATGCTGCTTGGCTTGGTTTAAAATGCACAATAATAGACCAAACAATAAATTTGAGGAGTACTCTTTTGTAAGTTCCATAACATATACTGACCCAGAATATTTTCCACCAAAGTAAATGTGGGATTTACCCTCTCTTTTACTTTATTATTATTATTATTTTTTACCATATTGTGTCTTGTAAAATTAAAAAAAATAATAGATTAACTCATGGTATAGTCCCCAAAATAAAGTGTTAGGGGAAGAAGCCTCCTCCAGCCAGCCGCTGCTGATTTGCATCACTTCATCGTTTCTCAAGGCAAATAGTGCAGCTCGAGTCTATGTCTAAAAATCATAAAAACAAGCATGGTATACATGTGTGTGTTCTTGCGCCTTGTACGTCCTGGAGCTCTTTCCACACCAGACCTCAGAATTCTCTTATAACCTTTATAATGTGAATTTCAGGGTTTTGTTTTGGTTTGGATTTTGGTGTGCGTTCTGATGGCAGGACTTACAGCTCTTTCCTGCTGAGGACACCCTGTACTGCGTCTCCATGGATGTTGTCTCTGCCTAGCAAACACTGTTTCCTCAACTTGTCCCTTATCACGTTTTCTCTACAGAGCTGCACCAACACTCATGAATTAAGCTATGAATAACCTTCCAGAAGTGAGTTACGCAAAGGAAAGGAGTGAGGAAGAATTATGGGTTCCACTCCTTTGTCAAAGATCACATAAGAAAAAATTCTCTCAAGAATTACTTTGATAACTTCAAGAAACATTTTGCTTGTTTCCTATTGAACTTCTGTTGGAGAGGTGACAAGATTGTAAGGCTAGTGATGGCCTTACGTTTTGGCTGCTTCGCTGCAGACAAGCAAAAGAAATTCATTCAATTTAAATGTCTTTGTATGGTCTTTATTCACAGATGAAAGTTTAAGGATCTTCCCTTACAAAGGAGAGACTACCTGAAGGTCAGGGAGTGGAGGGTAATTTAGATAGACGAGGTCAGTGAAGAAACAAATGAAGGAGATGGAGAGATGGCTCAGTGGTGAGGGGCACTGTCTGTTCTTGCAGAGTACTAAGATTCAGTACCCAGCACCCACATGGCAGCAAACAACCATCTGTAACTCCAGTTCTAGGGGATCCAACACCCTCTTCTGACCTCTGTGGGTATTGCACAACACAGGTGCACTTACATACATGCAGGCAATACACTGGCATGTATTTAATAAAAATAATAAATAAAATATTTTTTAAAAAAGAAAAACAAGACCTGAGTTCAAAGTCTGGTATTGACAACCTTTAAATTTTTCATAATGTTAATATGTTGATATATAAAGATGATTTGCAACATTTTAATTTGTAATCTCTTTCTACTTTATTGTATCCCACAACAGAAAATTAATTAAAAGCCACACAGTTTTAGCTACATGAAGTATTTATATAGGAATGTGCCTCTGACCACGCTGTGTACATACCTGATGAGCCAGTGATGTCCATTGCCTTAAGATTTCTGCATTTGATCACTGTCAAAGTCATACGTCCAGCAGTCGGCAGATAGCAAAGGGAAAACATGATTTCACCTAGGTCTATACTTTCCTAGAAGGAGATTGGCAATGTTATCAACTTCAACCACAAAATAATGAAAGCAGAATAAAGTGGAAAATGATAGTGAAAAAAAATCACCTTAGTCGAGTATTGGGATATTTTAAACACTTTCATTGAGGATGCAGATAAATTGCAAGAAAGTTGTTCTGAAGGGCGTAAAAGTATATACACCAGCTGCTTACTTAACATCTCAAACTTAGCAGAGGCAGAACTGGAGTGCTGACTACTGTCTGTCATTATCTTAGGTTTATCATAACCAACAAGGCACATCACAGCTCATGCAGAGCCGGGGCCAAAGCTAACAGTCACTGTGATGTTCTTTTTTCTCTCACTTGCATCCACCCAAGCCACAGCACACGTCATCTATGCCAGTGACAAAATGTATCCTATCACTGACTCTTCTCAGCTCTGCTGTGACCATTCAAACCATTATCTCCCATCGTGACTGACTAGCCTCCCAAGTCATCTTCATTCCACAAATTAGGCTTCACACATCAAAGAGATCATTTTGAAATGCAAAGCAAAAGTATGACTCTCATGTTTAAAACCATCTAAGGACTCATGCTGTGCTTAATAAAACCAGGCTCCTTGTGGCACAGACGTGGAATGGAAGGCCTCCATGTGCCTGGAAAGCTCCTGTTGGTATAGTTGCTAAGAGCTTCCTTTCCATTGTCTGTTTGTGGACACTGCACTAAAAACATCCTATACCTAAGACCCCTGTCTCCTGGGTCTACCATTCTGCTTTGACAGCCCTCACTCCAGCTCTGTCAGACACAGACCCCTCTTGTCTTGCCAATCGCAGGAAGCTCACCCCGCTTAGAGGTTTTGCATTTTTTTATTCCTTTGTCTGGTTGGTACTTTTCCCTCTCATGTACTCAGCTGGTTGACCTCTTTATTTTTTCCCCTTTTCTATTCTCTTCTCTGTGAGTGTTTTTGTGCATTTGCATGTTTTTTCACATGTGCAGGCACTCTTATGCGTGGGTGCACTTGCACATCTGTGAACATTCCTGTGGAGGCCGATGTTGGGAATCAGCCTTGATTAGTCTTCTACTTTATTCTTTGAGATAGGTCTTTCAGTCAAACCTAGCACTCACTGATATGATATTACTAGTCTGGGTATTCTTGATAGCTAGGTTGCTCTGTCTTTGATTTCTGAGGCTAGACTTACAGGGGGACAGCCATGCCTACCCAGCATTCATGCAGGTTCTGGGGATAGAAACTCAGATCCTCACACTTTAAATGCTTTAACCACGAGCCAATTCCCCAGCTCTCATCTGATTGACTTCCTATCAGGCAGGAGGCTATTCAGTCCTGGCCTATGTCCATCCCTCCCACATCCTTCACAGATTCTCATAACACCTACAGCACTGTCTGAAATAATCTTTTAAATTCATCAATATGCCAGTGGAAAGCCTCACCAACAGAATGGATCATGTGGAGGATGGAATATCAGGACTTAGAGATACAGTAAAGGAATTGGATTACACATTCAAAGAAAATATGTTTTTAGAAAACCACATGAATAGAAGATGCAGGATCACTGAGGTACGATGAAAAAACAAAGACTAAATCTACAGATTACGGGCTCAGAAGAAAATGAAGAATATTGGACAAAGGGACAGAAAATATTTTCAATAAAATTATAAAAGAAAATTTCCCAAATCTTGAGAAAAAGATGCTCATGCAGATTTATGAGGTCTACAGAATACCAGATAGATATGACCAGAAAAGAAACTTTCTATGGGACATCTATATCACACCCTTCCTCCCGAGGCTCAGGGACCATTTCAGAAGAGAGGACAGAAAGATTGTAAGAAGTAAAGGTAGTAGACATTTGGAGTGAAATATTATGTGCTGGACAGGACAGGTATTTTGCACACATGAACTCACAACAGCATAGACTGCACAAGGCCATGTGAGCAAAAGCACCAGCATAAATGGGGAAAAGACTCATGAAATCCAACCCCTAGCTCAGGAGCCATTGGCAACTGATGGCCACTGGGGAAAAAGAGTAAGTTTCCTTTAGGGATGTGACCCTGAAAGGCTAGCCATGCTCCAGCAGATGCTCCCACACCCACATACATATACAGGCAGCACCAAGTAGAATCAGCATTGTTTTTGAGAGGGCACATGATGCTGAAAGAGAAAAGTAGAGGGAGAAAGAGGGGAGGACTGGAGGGGAGGGTAAAGGATAAATGTGATCCAAACATATGCAGGTATGACATTCTTAATAAAAATTAAATTTAAAAAAAACCACTAAATATACAAAATAAAGGAAAGCTGAAAAGAGATGGGCCAATTTACATATAAAGGCATTCCCATTAGAAAAACAAATAGATGATTACTCAATAGAAACTTTGAAAGCCAGAAGTGCTTGGAAAGATGCATTCTAAGCTCCAAAACCACAGCTCCCAACCTATAATAAATGAAGTGGAAATAAAAACTTTCCACGATAAAAACAAAGTAAAAGAGCTTATGACCACTAAGCTAGCTCCACAGAGTGCACTGGAAGGAACAGTTCAGAAAGAAAGATAAACACAACTAAGAGACATGGAGGGAAATGGACATCAGGGCAGTTAATCAAATGTTTTCTAAGAAAATCCTACAGAACCACCAAAACCACAAAAGTTAATACACACCTTCTAAGATTAACCATAAATAACACTTGTCTCAGTACCATAATAAAAGACAGATTAACAGGTAGGTTAGAAAACAAGATCCAGCTGTTTTCCACCTCCAAAAACATACATCAGAATTAAGGATAGCCATCACCTTAGAGTAAAAGAATGGAGAAAGTTATACAGAGCAAACGGAGTTAGTAAATGAGCAGGTTTCGCTGTTCTAGAATCTGACAACATATACTTCAAACCCAAACTAATCAACAGAGATAAGAAGGCCACTACATATTCATTAAGGGGAAAGTTCATTAGGAGGATATCACAATCCTAAACATATACACATCAACCACAGGTGCACACAAGTTCATAAAACAAATCCTACTAGATTCAGAGCCACAAATTAATGCACAGTAATTGCAGGTGACTTCAATACACCACTTTCACCAACAGCATATCATCCAAACATATTTTTCAAAGAAACGTTGGCATTAAATGATGTCATAAATGAACCAGACCCCACAGATATCTATGGACTTTCTACCAAAACACTAAAATGTATACATTTTCCTCAGCAACACATAGAACTTTCTCCAAAATAGACCACATTTTAGTACATAAAGCAAGCCTTAACAAGTACAGGAAAATTCAAACAACATTCTGTTTATATCTGACCACAATGGAATAAAGCTACATCAACAGCCATAGAAACTGTATGAATTACATTGCATTGACTAAACAACATATTACTGAACGATGATAAATGGGTTATTGAAGAAATCAAGAAAGAAATAAAAGTTTTTATGGAATGAAACATGAAAACGAACACACAACTTAAATCTATGGAACATAAAGAAGGCAATCCTAAGAAGAAAGTTCACAATGTTAAACACCTACATTAATAAACTTAGGATATTTCAAATAAATAATCTAATGATGTACCTTAAAGCTTTTGATAGACAAGAACAAACCAAACACAAAAGTAGTATATTAGAAAAACTAATTAAGATCAAGGCAGAAATTAATGAAACAGAAGTGAAAAAAAAGGAAACAATGCATAAAATCAATAAAGTGAAGAGTTGGTTTTTTTTCAAAAGAAACAAGATTGACAAATCCTCATTCAAATTGATGGAAAGAAGGGGAAAATGCAATCACTAAAATTAGAGATGAAAGGGGAGACAGAACAAGAGATACTAATGCAGTCTAAGTCATGAGAACATACCTTGAAAATCTATGTTCCGCTAAAAGGCAAGATGTAAAAGACATGAAAGAATTTCTAGAGGCATATGATTTACCAAAATCAAATAAAGATGAAATAAAGAATTTAAACAAACATATAACTAAGCAATAAAAGCTCAGGACCAGATGAATAACTGCAGAATTCTACCAGATCTTCAAAGAAGAACTTATGCCAATACTATTCAATTATTCCACAAAGTAGAAAAGGAAGGTTTACAAACTCTCTTTACAAAGCTCAGCGGTTAAGAACACTGATTGTTCTTGCAGAAGACCTGGGTTCGAATCCCAGCACCCACATGGAAGCTAACAACTGTCCATAACTCCAGTTCCAGGGGAATCTGAAGCCCTCTTCTGACCTCTGTGGCACTGCACGACATGGGTGCGCTCACATACATGCAGGCAATATACCCATATACAAAAAATAAAAATAATAAATAAAATATTTTTAAAAAGCAAAATAAAAATATAGAATATTTCCCACTGTCAAAAACTATTTGCAAACTGAATTCAAGAACACATCAAATGATCATACATCATGATCAAGTTGGATTCATTTTAGGAATGTAGAAATGGTTCAACATACAGAAATCACAAATGTAGTTCATCACATAAATAGACTCAGAGGTAGATATCATATGATCATCTCACTGGATGAAGAAAAGGCCTTTTTACAAAATACAGCATTTCATCAAACTAAAAGTCATGCCATGACTAGGGATGAAAGGAGTATACCTATAGCCAATATATTAAATAGAGAAAGCTCAAACTATTCCCACTAAGATTAGGAACAAGACAAGGATGTCCACTCTCTTCACATCATTCAATATAGTGCTTTCAGCATTGCTCAGAGCAATAGAAAAGGAGAAGGAAATTAAAGGATACAAATAGGAAAAGAAGAAGTCAAAAGTATTCCTTTTGAAAAAATATATGAGTCTATGCACATGAAATCCTACAGACTCAATTAAAACACACTTAGAAATAATAAACACCCTCAGCAAAATGATGGCGTACAAAAATTAACATACAAAACTTAATAACCTTCCTATATATTGATAAGAAACATACTGAAAACGAAATCAGTGAAACAATCCCATTCACAGCAGCCACCAAAAAATTAAATACCTGGGAATGAATCTA